ATTGGATGTCTTAGGTTGAACATTTTCTTTTTTTTTTTAATTTTTATTATTGGTTGTTCAAAACATTACATAGTTCTTGACATATCATATTTCATACATTTGATTCAAGTGGGTTATGAACTCCCATTTTTACCCCGTATACAGATTGCAGAATCACATCGGTTACACATCCACTGTTTTACATATTGCCATACTAGTGTCTAATGTGTTCTGCTGCCTTTTCTATCCTCTACTATCCCCCCTCCCCTCAAAAAATGAAAAATGGAAATAATCTAAAGTTTACAGAATTTTGAAGAGCAATGGATGAAATTGATGGTTTTCTGTGGAATTCCTTTTACTCTATAGTCCTTGTACATGTTAGTGATCCATCACAAATACTTAGAGAAACTCTACTGAATCTGAATTTCAACTAGTTTTTTACTATTATACTTATGTTAAATGATTTGATTTGATTTTAGTGCCCCAAAATATTTTAGTTCAGATTGAAATGTTCACTTTAAGGAAAATAAAAGATATCAACAAGAAGAACACTAAAGAAATTGCAAAATATCATAACTTTAGTGACTTATTTCTCCATGTAATTATGAATCCATATAATAAAAAATTAAATCTACTGAAATTAATTTGGCGAGCAATGACTTACCACTTTATTTTTTTACTTCTTCTGTATAAAATATAAAATATAAGAAAAAATTATTGACTTATTGATTTAGTACAAGCGGCTAAATAAATCAGATATGTATATCCATCTCAGCCTCTTAAACTATGTATAATCCTATTTTATCTTTATATTCCTATGAAATAAGCATTAACGTTTAGAATAATGACCTCCAGGATTCATTAGAAATATATAGGTAGATTTTTTAGTAAAAAGATATTGAAGATCTCATATAAAACTGTATATTACCTTGTATAAATTCAGAATAAATAACTCATAGTCTTATTCGTACAAAGACAGATACTTCAAAATGTCAGCCTAAGGGAAGGGAAAAAAGAGGGGTCATTTAGATAATCCTAAGCTTTTACCTGATGATGTTTCCATCACCATGTCAAATAATATTTCTTCTGTCCTCCTGCTACTTCAAATACCAATATCATTGTCAAATGTTTATATAGATTTGTAGAGAAAGGATATATAGAGAAATAAAATATTAAAGAAAAGAAATGGTAAATGGAATAAATAATCCAAAATTTTCTGATAGAAATATCTTACTGTGATTTTTGTAATTCTACATATGAAATTATATTTCATATGCAACATATATATACTTTTACGTACATAGTTTTGATATGATAATGAAGTAATACTGTTTATGAAAACTCATGCTATATTACTATTTTTTTTACTATATTTTTAAGTTCCCTATCTGTAAAAATTTAGTAAAACCACTTTTCTGTGTTTATTGTATGGTGGTCTGAAATGGTTGAGTCATCTAAAAAATAAAATTATTGAGTATATCTGAGTCCTAATTCTATGCTCTCATATGCATTTGAAGCATTAATAGCAGGTGGGTTATTATCAATGTATTTGTTTCCTGTCTTTAATTTTGGGCAAGAATACATTTTTCCCTTTCAGTGGCATTACAATTATTATGAATTTTTAGGAATAAAAATAAACCCAAAGGAGAAAAATCTGTTCTATGAGCAGATGGCTTTTGATATCTTAAGGTTTTTCCATTTGTTTTAGTGCTTAAAATAAACATTATTTATAAGACCACTTACATTTTGATGTTTCTTAATGAGGAATATGCATCATTGATTTGACTAGCTTAAGAGGTCATTTAGAACTTGCCCGTTAACAAGCTGTAATCTGCTGAGCACACAATGACTTTGTTTAAAATTATCTATTCAGAGCTGATCAATGACAATAATTGTTTTATCCAATCACTTCTGAAAGTTGCTAATTACTTTGAAGGACATGAATACCAGCCAATTTTATTATTATTATTTTTTAGAAACTGTTTCTCATTTACATCAAAATTAAGAAAAAAATTAATAAAATTAATCTTGCCTTTTGACAGTACTTTAAAAAATAGCTTATTCTGTAGTACTGGAATAGCAATAGAAAAATTAGCAAAATTCAGGATGTCATTGTGCCTATAATAGGAATTATAGTATATAGTACAATTTCATCTATGTTGTATATTTTTAAATCAATTAAATATTGGTCACACTGGGCTTTCTATAATGAAAAAAAATGGAACTAAAGAATAGGCACACTCGTTTTCTCTTTAAACAGTGTATTTGTAAGATATTAGTGAAAAAAGCATGGACTTCAGAGTGAGACAGATCTGGGTTTGTATCTTGACTCTGCCATTTACTCTTACTGGTTATGTGACCTTGAACAAATTACTTAACCTCAGTTTCTTCATTTTTAATGTGGAGATCATGCCCTATTCACAAAGATATTGTGAGAATTAAACAGTTAGCATAATACCTGGCATTTGGAAGGAGCTCAATAAATTTTAGATCCTTCATTTCACTGATGGCAGCTTCTTCACCCACTCAAATGATCAGTTTCTTCCAGCTATTCTTACTTACTCATCTTGGACAAAGCCACTTAAAGATTGATTGATTGTACTTTAGTGCGAATGAGTTTTAATTTGTTACCTTAACCATCACTTACTTATTATGCCCTTTCATACCCAATTGTGAATGGATTTGTCTTGGAAAGGATTTTTTAACTGCCTTTGAGTAGATGTCTAGGATATTAGGTTATTAGAAAGCTGCAGCCTCTCCGAGTGTAGCTGGGACGTTTCAGTTGCTGCTGGATGTGGAGAGGAAATAAGCCAGTGCCACTGGCTTTCTTTCCCTTAAGTGTGGGAAATCCTTCTTATTTTAGCACAAAAATTTCAGCCAATTACAGACCTCATTTCTCTAAAATGGACATACCTGCTACTCTAGTATTATCTGATCACAGACCACAATTATCACTCCTCTCAATACTCCAGCATGCATCTTTGATGTTTTCTGGAACACTTCATCTTATTTTATTTATAATTCAGTGACATCTTTATGTCATAGGCAGTCTCTCCCTGAGTAATGTTTTGATAACCCAATATTTTTCTTATGCAACCTGAGTCACTATTATTGCTGAGGATGAATTTTCTACCAGTACACGTTTACAAGTGTTCTCTTTCATAATCATGGTATAACGCATATTTGATAAAAGCATGCTGAAATACTTGAAGCCATCCAAACAGTTATGTGACCTTGTGCAATTATTTAACCTCTGTAAGCATCAATTTCCCCTTGTATAAAATCAGGTTAATTGTAATCTCCACTTCAGATTGATGCTATAAGATTAAATGAAATGAGCCAGGAAAATACTCAGTTATTTGCATGTATGCTTTATATATATATATGCATATTTCAATTAATTATTCTTTTCCATTAGAAAGTGCTTCTGGTCAATTCCTCTTCTTTGTCAGCCATATTATGATTTTGGTCAAGTTAGGGAGAGTTTCTATATTGAGTATTATATGATTTTAGAAAAATTGATTTTTAGTTATAGAGTTGATCTTTAAAATAAGATAATTTGAAAAGTTCTTATTGTATAACTTTGTTACATTGCATTGCTATATTATTTAGTTTACTTTCTAGAATTGGTGTCTCTGGTTCAATTGTACACACAAGTTATTTTGTGTATCTTCAGTTATTTTATTCTTTCTCACTCTGAGAGGTTGACTAAAACACTTCCTTAAAATTTCGGCATTTAGTACATCAGATGTTATAATGATTATAAAATTTTGCCTTTTAAGGACAATGTCTTTAAAAACAAAGAATAAGAATTCAAGTAAATTCAGCATTCCACTTAGAAATATTTTAAGCTACATGTCTTTTAGCTAAAAAAAAAAAGTAGGCCTTGTCTCTCTATTATCCTTTTCTATTTAAAAGTAAAAAATATGTTTAGAGAACACAGGTATTGTCTCACTAGCAAACTGTGCTGAATTGGAAGTACTTCGTATACTGCAGGAGAATCATTTATAACATGTCAAAATCACTGATTGATAATATTATACATTATCAATTTTGTTTTAAGTTGCCCTAATAGAGGCTGTGTTATCAAATATAGGACTTAAGGAGATTGAGTCTCATGATTGCTGGGGTTTTATAAAACATCTAGGAGCCCTAGTACATTATCTTATACCTCTGACTGTCTTCTCATCTTAAAAAAACACACATTAATTATATTTTCTGCTAAAAATAAAACAACTTGTATTGCAGTAAAAGATTTAAAAAGTTGATAATTTTTAGTTTTAATTGATTGAAATTGTATTTTACTTCCTTCCCAATGCTGTTTTACAATGACTAAGAAAATGGATTCTCTGAAGCCTTAATTTGACTCCTGGATCTGTCACTAATAGCTGTGTAATTATAGGAAAATTATCTAAACTTTTTGGTAGTCATTTTGTCATCTGTACATCATATCTGAAGGAGTGTTCTAAAGTCTAAGAGCATAAGAAAATCCTTAGAATAGTGCCTGGCACATAAGAACTCAATGAATGTTAACTGATATGGTTATTGATAAAGAAGAAATAAAATGCCATGATTAATATATAAGACAAAATTTTATTTAAAGATTTCAGTACCACTGAATTAAAAAAACTCATTAAAATTTTTATTTCAATGAGACCAAATGCAGTCTTGAAGCCAGTTGGTTTTTTGGGGAAAAATTCCATTTGCTTTATCTGTACAAATGGTAGGAATTTGTAGGTCAACTTTTAAATCTTTTAATAACTAACTTAGAGGTTAATATTTTGTGAAATGATTATAACTATTTTAAAATAAATTGTAATAACAATTATTTTTATCTTTCAAATATTTATAATTCTGCAAGTACCACCTATGTTTGCAACTTATATACTGTTATATTAGTGGAAAAGTCTAAGGCTTTATTTAATATGAACTTTTAGAAATAATTACATTGGTTTGAAAAAATTTAATGTTTTCAATGAAAATTTTAAATGGTATATTTTATCTTTTATTTATACCTGTAGATTCAGAGACGCTGGCGAGGCTATAGGATTCGGAAATACTGCTTTAATTATTATTATTTGAAAGACTACCTAAAAGCTGTTTCAGAGACCAATGATGCAATTAGGTGAGTAGTACAATCATTAATCTACTAGTGAAAATTTTGGAAAGATTATTCAATAGATATTAATCATTACTTAGAAATACTTTCTTTAGCAGTAATATTTCAGGCAGATATTTATTGGTGAGATGTATGATTCTATTTATCTTAAAAGTTGTTTATTATACATTAACGTTTTGTAAAGACAAAATTAGATTATTTGTACATGTAATTTCTTGGTTCTATGCAAAATAGTTCAGTTTCTATAAAATTATTACATAGGAAGGTGCATTTTATCTGTACAGTGATATACAGATTGTTAAGTATGCTAAGCTTCATATATTATGATAAACATGTTCAATAGCAAGAACTTACCTCTCAAAGAAGAAAATACGATGGAACATATTAAAATGTCTATCTTACTGTTAGTGTTTATTTTTTAAACACCAGGAAGTTAGTACCTGGATATAGACTATAGGGTATTTTCTGTAGATTTATGCAGAATAAAGACATTGCAATAATAGTCAGTCAACCGTTCCAAAGCCATATGTGTTGAGTTTTCATATTACTGTACTTTAAAAATAGAGATTTTTTCCTTTTGTGATATACTCTATTCTAATAACATAAAGTGACCATAAAACTACAATATTTACATTAAATACAAATCATAATTATTAATAATTGGCATTTATATAGTAGCTTGTACTTTAAAAAATGCTTCCACATGCATTATTTGTTTCTTAAAGTTCTTTGAAATAGAAATAACAAACAATTGGCAATAATATGTTTAAAAAAGTTTTATCTGAAATCCTAAAGTAAGATGTGTGTGAAGATATATCTGAAAACTAAATTCTTAACTTTTAAATTTCTTGTGTGTGTTGTAAAGAATCTGGTCTTTAAAAATTAAGCATAGAAAATTCATTACGTTGATTTCTTTAGAAATATCAGTAAAAAGTTTTTGATAGCTTCAATACAGGTTTAGTCAATGAAAGAAGTAGGAAAACTAAAACAACAACAACAACAAACCCAAACAAACAAACAAACAAAAACATGATCCAGAGGAGATTTCTGTTTAATTTCTTCTTGAGAAATCTAAAGCTTTGGAGATGGGTTAGTATCTGCAAATGGCCAATTCAAGCTTTTTCATTAAAAAACCTAGCAGAGTATGAGAGAGAAGAAATATGAGCTGGACTGAGGATTAACAGGAAGCAAGTGGGGATTATAAAACATACAACTGAAGGACGTGCTCGCTGTTCGAGTCTTGCAAGTGCCAACTCTGTACTTCAACAATCCCGAGTGTAAGCATGTTGGTAAAGTTCACATATTAACTTTTAAAATATAAAGCTATTCCTTAAGAAAATTACATTTCAGGGCCCTTATTTGCTTCACTCTAATTGAAACCCTGAATGGAAGAAGTCCTCAAGGAGGTGAACAGTTAGTAATGTGGTTTTGGAAAGGCTTACATCTTCTGTTTGGAATGTATTTTCATTAATCCTTGTTTTCATTCTGAGGTTAGTAGACCTAATTCTATCACTAGAGAGTTTAGCATAACAGTGATGACAATTTGTTTTTAGTGATATTTTTATTACATTGCAAAGCAGTTTTTTTAAATTTCCATATCTTGGAGTTTTTAAGACTAAGAGTGGAAGGTGAATTTAACAAATGATTCTCTATTATTCATTGGAATATTTTTTTTTCACTTACCAATATGCATAGAGGTATGATCCTCAGTACTACAAACAGAAAAGTATATATTGGTAATACATACACTAATGTTAAGCCATCAGTGTGTTCTATGAATATATCCAACCAAGCAATTATTGAATTGTTCTTTTGATTTCTCACTTTATTATAATACTATTTCATATAGGATACTTACATCCACTTTTATTAATCACAATTGGTTAAAATTTTCTTGTATTGTAATCATTAGGTCTTGGCACCAGGTTTTTGCTATATTTATTAGATGAACTGAGTAAATTACATGGCATGGGTCTTACTCTTCATTAGAAATTTAAAAGAAATGAATCATAAAACTCTTGTGTAACTAAAACCTTTTAGAGAAGATATACTTTAATATTTCCAAACCTCCATTCAAGTTTTTATAACTGTTAGTAATCATTTTATTTATTTGTAGATAATTATTTAGTTTATTGCCATTAAAATGTCCTATATTATTTAAGACATTGTAACTAAAATGTATATTTTATTATTATATTTCATTTCTTATTTTAAAATTTGCTTATTTAAATTTTTGTCTCTTCTCAAAATTATCAGACTTATATATTTTATTCTTATTTTTCATAGAATCACTATTCACATTTTGTCTTTTTATTTACATTTGTTTTGTAAGTATCTTGCATTCATCTTTTAGAAACTATTTATTTCTCAAATAATACATGAGCATTGTATAACAACTGAAAATACAGATGACATAAAATAAACAAAAAGTCATCTATAATTCTATCACTCAGAATTAGACTCTATTAAAATTTTGGTGTCTATTCTCCCAGATCTCTGCCTCTTAGTACCTGTGTGACTGTGGGCAAATTTTATTTCCCTTTTCCTAAGAATTGCCTCCTCTAGAAAGTGAGGAAAATAGTAGAACTACTCCATAAGTTTATTATGAAATAAATGAATTAATATTTATGAAGTGCTTAAACAGTACCTGGTATGTTATAAGCTTATAGCTTAACAATTATTTTTCTTAGGACTTGTGGTTTTCCTATTTTCTATGTTGGATGAAGTATTCTTTTATGGCTAATCTACCTTCTCTATGGCTGCATTTGTGTTTGTGTTCTGCAGTTTTATTACAATATGTCTTGCTGTTGATCTCTATTTAGTCTATCAATTTTTCAATAGATATTATTTTACTCTAATATCTATGCATTCACCAGTTTTCAAACATTTTCACCAATTATCTCTTTATATATCCACTCTTTTCCATTTTTAGTTTTCTTTTTGAGCTCTGATGGCCTTCTCATTCTATTCTCAAAATCTTTCATATAATTTTTAATAATGTTTCATGTATTTGTCTTTTTATACTTTTTCTGGGTAACTCATTCTTTTCTGGATAATGACTTCTTATCTATTTCTGCCTCACTAATTCCCTTTATTTAGCCCATTCATAGAATTAATTTTGGTGACTATACTTTTTATTTCTGAAAGTACTACTTAGTCATATTTAAAATTTGCCTGATCATTTTAAAAATAATTGCAGGCTTTTTACTCTTTTCTAAATTATATTTTAATTTAATTTGAATAATAACACATTTGTATTCTGTATCTAATGTGATCATGTAATATTATTTTTCATTTTTCTGTATCATATATGGTGTTTTCCCTATGTATTTATAGTTAAAAAATTGCAAGATCATTGTGTACTGAACTTAATCCATAATCCTGTGGAGAAAAAAATGGCACAATATTCCTCTTGAGAGTATTTATGTTTTTGTCTATTTTCTGTGTTAGTCAGATTTCTGTCATTGTGAAAAAATACCTTAGAAAATAACTTAGAGTTGGAAAGATTTATTTTGGCTCTTGGTTTCAGAGGTTTCAATCCAAGGTTGGCTCCATTGCTTTGGGCCTGAGATAAGGCAAAATTTGGTGGTGGCAGGAACAATTATCAGGACACTGCTCAAATCCTGGTAGCCAAGAAGCAAGGAGAACAAGCAAGGAATGGTTCAGGGACAAGATATAGAGGGTGCCAGGGAAAAGAGGAACAATTGAGAAAAAAATGACTGCTGTGGGTTAGGGTAGGAGTGGGAGTTGCAAGCTTAGAGGCATTTTTCAGAAGCACAAAAACTGAGCCCTGAAAGTTGTGCAGGAATGAAGACATTATTAACATGTCAAATTTCACTGAGATTGCTGCATGAAACATGATGGAAAGATTGACTAGGGACATATCCAGACAATGTAACTGGGGCTCTCCATACTGGGCATTTAGGCCATATTAAATTATCTAACTACTATTTTAAGAGCATTGGAAAGAATTCCCCTTTTAAAGAGAGAGGTGACATGATTACATTTTTTGACATATATGTTCAACTTTATTTGTAATGATAGTTACATTTAAATAGTAAACTTTAAAATCATCTATTCATTTTTGCTGGAAAAGTATCAACACATATTTAGATTATATTTTTACATCACTTTACTCTATTTTCAATTCAAATCACAGGGATAGGACTCAGTTTTGTTACCTTTTGCTGTGTTTCACATAATATCCAATGAAGTCTAAAACAATAAACAGATGTTACCTCATAGTTTTCTCAGTTAGGAAATTGGGAGGAGCTTTGCTGTGCACCTAGGTTCAAGGTCTCTCATGAGATGGCAGTCATACCATCAACTAGGTTTGCTGTTTCATGTGAAGGCTCAGTGGAGAGGAAAATGCATTTCTAACCTTATTTACAGGGACTGTAATTCTCCTGGCTGTTAGCCTAAGGTATAGATATTGGCTTCTTCTGAGCAAGTGAGCCAGAGAACGTGAGATAGCATTCAAGATGGAAGTCACATTTTTTTTTTCACAACCTAATATCAAAAGAGACATCCCATCACTTTTTCTCTATTGTCTTCATATGAAGAAAGAAACTAGGTCCATCCCACATTGAAAGGAAGGGAATTAAACAAAAGAATGAATTCCAGAGTGGGGATGACTGAGGCCATTTTAGAGACAGATTTCTACAGTTAGTGACTTGCATGTATTATTTCAACACATCTCATAATTTTCAACATTTTGCTTGGCATAAGAATTGACTTAGAGTTAGAAAATAACTTAGAGTTGGTAAGATTTATTTTGGCTTTTGGTTTCAGAGGTTTACTAGGACAATATATTTCGTTGTATCTTTTCATAATTATATTTTAAACTTTAGTATTATCTCAAAGTGATTATGATTATTCTAACTAGGAATTAGCATTAAAAAAATTAAGGTCTGGATTTCAAAGACAATACGAAAGAAGTAGACCAGCCCTTTGTTGGTGGGCATGGTTAAATCATTTGTAGAAAAAACTTAGTAAATTATTTTATA